GAGTCCCACCCCGACTCTGTTCCCATGCGCGTTGCAAAGCTGCTCAGGTTGGGTGTGGGGCAGGCGATGAGTGGGATCGTTTGAATGGATGGGTTTCCGCTGTTTCCTTGCTAGCATGTGCATGGGCTGCTTCTCTGTGTTGTTGTTGCTTGCTCTTGTTCTTCATCATCGTCGTCATCATCGTCATCATCGTCGTCATCATCGTCATCATCAGCATCATCATCGTCATCATCATCATCATCATCATCATCATCATCATCATCATCATCATCATCATCATCATCATCATCATCATCATCATCATTCCTCGCTCACTCGCTCACTCGCTCACACACACATACACACACATACACACACATACACACATACACACGTGTACGGTCTTGCGCAGGGAGTGGACTGAAACGTACAGCTACGACTTCCGGGACGAGCGGATGATGCTTCCGTTCAAGGACATTACGCAAGCTTGCGCATCGTACATGGACGATGTCAAAGCCGCTGTACTCGACATCCAACGCGTCCTCTTCAAGAAGGTGTGTGCGTGTGCGTGTGTGTGTGTGTGTGTGTGTGTGTGTGTGTGTGCGCGAACCTTACCGGGGACAGCTTGGTTCTCACTCGATTCATTTCACGCATCAACGACCGCCGTTGCCACATCCGTCAGCTGAATGCGCTGGAGCAGTATGAGGCGAAGCTGAAGCGGGAACTGGAGTTGCAGATCAAGACGAAGAACGAAACCATGTCCGCCGGCAAATCAAAGGTGTGGACGCACTCCATTGCTCCGAACCTTGCCGGACACAGTCTGTGCCACACCCCTTGTTCTCAGTACATGTACATGTACTCGCACATACGCATACGCTCACACCAAGACCATCCCCCCCTCAAACAAAAATCACCACCGACACCGACACCGACACCATCCCCCCCCCCCAACCAGCCGGACCGCAACCTGTTTGACCTGTCGCAGTCACCGCAGGAGGTAGCCGCGCAGCTGAAGGTGATTGAGTTTGAGCGCCTGAGCGCCATTGGGCCCGAGGAGTTTGTGCAGACATTCGTGCGCGGGGACCAGAAGGACGAGTATACCGACATGCGGGAGGCGCACAACGTCGAGACCTACGTCGAGTGGTTCAACAGACTCAGGTGCATTGCTCACTTGTGTTCTCTGTGTGCGTTATGGGGGGAGGGGGGGTGCGTGTGTTTGCGGTTTCACATGATGCTGTTGTGGTATGTCTTCCGTGGTTGGAATTGCGTGGAGGTGGCTGCATACTTGTGTGTGTGAGTTCGCGAATGTCCTTTTGGTATCGCGCGCTCATCATCGCCGCTTTATGCATTGCAGTTACATTGTGGCGACGGAGATTCTGCGAACGGAGAAGAAGAAGCATCAGGTCAAGGCCATCGAGTTCTTCGTGCAGGTGAGAGGTCATCACGTGCTCTGTGCGGGTGTGTGATGGCAGTTGCAGTGGAAACACTGGCTGTCATCATGCCATAGGCACTTTTCTTTACTCCATCCACGAACACGCCTGCAGACATGCACACATGCACGTTATGCACCCCTTTTGATTCTTTCTGGTTGAATTGACATCACGGGTTTTTGTATGTGCCGGGATAGGTTGGCCACCACTGCTACAAAATGCACAACTTCAACAGCGTGATGGCCATTGTCTCCGCTATCAACTTTGCATCCGTCTCACGGTGAGAAACGCACTTCCGCACACGCTTGCACGCACGCACATACACGTACATAACCGCACACGCATGCGCACACGCACGCACGCACACGCATGCGCACACACGCACACACACACACACTTGCACACACCATGTGACTCATCTAAGTGCTGCTTTGCTGCGCTGTCAGGCTGAAGAAGGCGTGGTCGAAAGTACCTGGGAAGATTCTGTCCCTCTATGAAGAGCTGGAGGTGCGCTGCGCATGTGCACGCGTGTGAATGATGTTTGTAGTGATTGCTGCTGTCGTCGTTGCCGCTGTTGGGAGTTGACAGCTTTGTGTGGTGAGCGCTTGTCGGGTCACCTCTTGCATGATGACGCACACCTCATACGTGAACCACGCACACGCACGCGCGCACGAATGCCGTTGCCTCTGCGAGCAGTGGGTGTTGGAGCCACGATCAAACTTCAAGAACTACCGAGAGGAAGTTGCGTCGCTGATGCTGCAGCAAGACACGTGTGTCATCCCAATCTTCAGCCTCATGGTCAAGGTGCGCCATGGCGTGGTTTGTGTCGACATGTGAGATGAACCTTTGCCTTTGCGTGTCACTCATGAACACGGAATTCACGCGCCACACAGATACGCGCACACAGATACGCACACACACTCACACACACACACACTCGCTCACTCACTCACTCACTCACTCACTCACTCACTCACTCACTCACTCACTCACTCACTCACACACACTCACTCACACACACACACACTCACACACACACACACTCGCTCACTCACATCCCATCACTCACTCACTCACTCACTCACTCGCACACTCACTCACTCACTCACCCACGCACAACCCACGCTTCCCGCTGTGCAGGACATGTACTTTACGGAGGAGAGCAGCAAGAAGCGGCTTGCGAACGGCGATATTGACTTTGACACCATGTGGCGGCTGGGAAACAGATTAGCCGACTTTATGGTGCTGAAGAACGCAAAGTGCAAGCAGCCGCGCAACGATGACGTTGTGCGCTACCTCAAGACTGTTCCCGTCTGCTCCGAATACGGTCCGTCGTGGTGGAGTGTGTATGCTGGTTTCTTCCTTGTTTGCTTGCTGCTGTCTTGCCTGCCGGCTTCTTGTGCATCATTTTCGCACGCGCGCGTGGACACACATATACACGTACTCATTCACCGCACATCATCGCATCTATCCCACCTTTTCCCCACACCAGAGCTGTTCAAGCTGTCGATCGAGTCTGAACCGCCGGCGAAAGAAGACAAAGAGCGCACGCTGGGTCGTCTCAAGTCAGTCACTCACGTTGTCTGGCGCTGCTGCTGGTGGTGGTGGTGTTCTAATTTTGTTGGTGCTGTTGTGATTTGTTTGGTGAACGGTTGCTTCGGGGTGTTGTCGACGCTTTGGCTCCTGGTCTCTCATCACTTCGCTCTTCCTCACCCCGCCTTGCTTCTGTTTGCATTGCGTTGCAGGCGCCTCGAAACGCAGTCTCAGCGAAAGACCGCGGAGAAGGACGCCAAATGAATGCACACGCACATACACACACTTACACACGCACACACGCACACACACACACACACATAATTCGTCTTATTTCATGCACTTCCTTTCCATCTCATTCACCAAACAGCCATGGACTTGTGCGCACCAACTTTTCGCCACTGTGTTGCCTGCCTCTTTCTTTGCTTTTGTCGTTTTCGTACTTCTGTGCTTCACTCCTCCCACATATTCGGCGTACGCCACTTAATGTTCCGTTGTTATGTTACACGACCCTTTTCATGACTTGGTGTCGATAACTCCTCCGCACCTTTCTGTTCACACACACACACACACACACACATATTCATGCACTTACACGTTCTGTTTATCAAGTTAATTCATTGGTGTAGCACCAATAAATATCATAACATGAGAGCGGTAAGCAAATACTCATGTTCGAAATGTACAAATACACGTGCAGTGAGACCAAACACACCGCACGCCGTCGATACAGACACCACCAGCCTTTGGTGAATTCAATTCTTAATGTTCAACCACACATGAACACACACGCACGCACGCACGCACACACACACGCACACACACACGCGCGCACACACACACACACATGAAAGCTAGTGAGAGTCAACAACCACTTCAGATGCGCACTTGTCTTCCCGCCAACGTCGCATGTGTTGGAAAGTCAATCTCTCTCCGCCGCAGCCGCTGCTGCTGCTGCTGCCCACTCCCTGTCTGCACGGCAAACGCAGCATCTGCCTGCTGCAGCAGGACACGCATCGCCTCCTCAGACCCGCTGTTGTCTCCACCGCCGCCAACGCCCGTGCCGTCTTCACCGTCACCGCCATCGCTTTCTTGTCGTGTGTCTTGGTCGTCGCTGTTCGTGCGGCCGTGCGGCTGTGCTGCTGGCGCCTGCGGTGCGACGCTGGAGTCATTGCTGCTGCCAACGTGGTAAATGTGCTGCTGGTGTTGCCTCCCATGCACATCACCACCACCGCCACTTTGATCATCACCACTGTCACGGCGCCGCCACCGCTTTACTTCGCATTGAGCGCCGGGCTCAGACAAGTCGGTCGCTCCAATGCCACTGACATCTGTTGACGACAGCAGCGCCTTCTCCCCGCTGTCGAGCACAACACCACCGCCACCATCGCCATCGCCAGTGTCATTGCCATTGGTGCTGTCATCACGGACACCGTCATGGTGAACGCCACCATCCCTGCGAGTGTGGCGCCTCTTGATGTTGCCTGCTGTGCTCTCGACAACAACCACAGCGCCACCCCTGCCGGCCTCAAAGCTGTCATCAAACTCGCCGTGCTGGCTCACCTCGTCCTCGACCGTGTACGCATCTGCAGTGCGTTCCAGCTTGTCAAGGGCACGGCGCATTGCGAGTGGCGACAATAGTGTGCACAGCAGCAGCGCCCACACGGATGCGATAAATGTATCGCTGCCAACAAGATCCTCCTCCAACGCCTCCTGCGCCATCAAGAACCTGCTCCCCGGGCCATGTGAGTGAGTGTGTGTGTGTGTGTGTGTGTGTGTGTGTGTGTGTGTGTGTGTGTGTGTGTGATTGGAAAGCGGTACACGGTGTCGAGAGCACGGCAGAGCGGCACATGGTGGTGAGAAAGGCGTCACGAATGGGAGCGCACGGCAGCACAACAACACCAAGCGAATAAGAAACCACGACCGTTGTTAACACAACACATGTACGCACCCGAGTTCGCCGCGTCCAACCATGGCCCATCCGACAACCTGCGCCTTGGGCAGCGCGCCCGCGAACACGCCCGTGACAAGCTTGCCCAGGATGGCGGGGATGGTGTAGAGGACCCCGTACCCAAGCGGGATGGGCTTGAAGAGGGTGTTGACGGGGACGATGAGGCCGATGCTGGCAAAGAAGATGGACGAGAGCATGTCGGATACCGGGGACAGCTCCAGCCAGTAGTCAAGTACACCAGGCACGTCTGCAAACGCCATTCCTGCCGTAAAAGCACCAAGGAGGTACGAGGTGCCTGTGTATCCAGCTGCGGTCACCAGGCCCAGCGTGATGAGAAGCACGGCGAGGAGCAGGCCTTGCTTGCGGTGCTCTTCCTGGCGCCAAGGAACGGCACGCTCGATCCGCGGAACAGCTTGCACCAAGATGGCGCCAATCAGCACAAACGCACACGATACCACAACGGGTTCGAGGTAAACCCATGCGCTGTCGCCGTTGCTTGTCGAGACCCCCGCGATGCTGGTCGTGCTGGTTGTGCTTGCAGCAATGGTTGAGGTCACGTTGCTGGGGGTGTCGACACCGTTGTCACTGCCAGCGTCGCCGCCGTTGTCAGATCCGAGGCGTTGCAGCACAGCCAGGATGACCAGTGACAACACATCGTCGATCATGGCTGCAACGGCAATCAAGTTGCCCAGCGTCGTGTTCAGCTGCCCCATGCTCTGCAACATTTTGCTGGCCATGCCAATGGATGTGCTTGAGAGGGCGGCGCCAGCGGCTATGGACTCGATGCGGCCTTTGCCAGTGATGGTCATGAACGCCCAGCCGAGCAGCACGGGCAGCAGGGTGCCCGTCACGGCGACAAGCACCGCACGCAGGCCGATGCGCGGCAGCAAGTGCACGTTGATCGACATGCCGCCCTCCAGCACCAGGAAGATGAGCCCGACCTGCCCCAGGATGACGATCAAATCCATGGGTGGCAGCCATCCAATCACATCTTGGCTGAGCAGGATCCCCGCCAGGATCTCCCCCACCAACTGGGCGTGGATGAGCGAGAACAGCCGCCCACAGCCCCACACCACCGCGAAGAAGCACCCCACACGCGCCAACACCTCAACCTCGTCCGCCATCGCCGTCCGTTTCTGCAGAAATTCTGCCAAAGACACCCACCATTCGTCCACACCTTGTGTGTGTGTGTGTGTGTCTGTCTGTCTGTCTGTCTGTTTGTGTGTCTGTGTGTGCGTCTGTCTGTTTGTGCGTGTGTGTCTACTTTGTCTGTGTGTGTCTGCGTGTCTGTCTTGTGTGTCTGCAATGGCTTGACACCTGATACGAACGCAGCTGGACTGCAATCAGCTATGTACCTAGTAATGGACAAGAGAGAGGCATGAAGAAGAAGGCACGAGTTCAACAACCACCATGCCATCATCATCAAAAGAGTAATATACACCGAGAGGGAGGAAGGAAAGGAAAGGAAACTGCCTGAAGATGAACAGCATGCGTTCGATCGACATTCAAACCAAGAAACAAACACCGCATCTCATCAGTGTTTCAGCTAACTTCTCTCGAAAGCGTATCCAGCAGCAACAACTCGCAGCACTCACGCACATACACACCACTGCCGCCGCCGCTGCCAGCATGAACACCACAAACAACAGCTTAAACACACTTACACACACAAACAACAACTTAAACACACTTACACACACACACTCACTTGCACACACTTACACACACCACGGCCCTCAGTGCGCCCTGCGCACGATGAGGTCTGTGATGCGCTTGACAATGGCTGTCTTGGCAGCATCATACTCCATCCCAAAGCAGTACACATGCTGGGTGCGGCCCGTCGCCTCGTCCACAACCGTCATGCACGACGACGCCAGCAGCGGCCGCTTTGCCCGCTTCACCCCAGAGAGCGAAGGTCGGCGCAGCAGCCGTGGCGAGCGACTCACTGCAGCATCATCATCGCGACCCTGCTGCACCACTGCCTGCTGCTGCTGCCCCTGGCTGTCTCTTCGCTGCAGGTGTGCCGCCGCCGCCTCGTCTGGCGGCTGCTGCCGCTGCTGGTGTTGCTGGTCGCGGCCATCTTGAAGGTGGCGCTGGCTGTCGTCGTGGCCGACGTGCTCTGACTGCACGTGGTACAGCGTCCACGACACGGCGTTTGCATTGGGGCCTACAGCCTGCACGCGCTTGTCCAACCGCGGCGCAACCATGGCGTTGGCGAGCGGCACGTGCGCCACAAACACGTAGCGCGGCAGCGGCGTGATGGAGGAGGGGCCCTTGCGCTTGCTGGGCTTCTCCGTTGACGGCAGCTTCTCAAACACGAGAATAGCGTGCGAGAAGATGAGCAAGTGGCAGGGCACGTGCCGGCGCGGGCGCCCGCGGTCGTCAAGCGCATTCACCCACATTACTTCCTCCGAGGTCTCCAGCGATTCCAGGTGCTGGCTCAGGTCAAACGAGGGCAGGCTCTGTGCCAGCGGCTCTGCAAACGTCTCGCACAGCCGCGTCATGTCGTTGATGTGTGTCGCCAATGCCGCAAGGGAGTCCAGTGCGCGCTGCACGCTCGCCTTGACAGGGCCTGCGCCAGGGATGTGTGAGGCGAGCTCTCGCATCAGCAGCGGGTACTTGAGCACGCGTTGCACGGGCTTGATGAGCAGTGAGGAGAGCTTTGCCGACTGCTCCTGGCGCGGGTTGCGCGCATCAAGCCACGCCTGCAGCGCTGGGTCCGCCTCATTGCTCACCACCTTCACGGCAGCGGCGTGCGTGGCACAGTATCGCGCGTACATGCGGAACGGCTTGGCCTTGGCCAGGAAGAGCTGGGCAAGCGCGTCGGCAGCACGCGTGAGCGCGCGCGCATCCGAGGGCGACATGCGTGTGCTGGAGGACGCCAACACCACGCGGCAGCTCGACTCAAGCTGCTGCAGAAAGCCATGCTGAAACGCAACCAGCTCAGGCAAGTTGGACACCACAGTCGCCTGGGCCGACGACGACAGCATGCGCTCTGCAATCAACGGGCGGATAAACCGCTCTTGCATCATGTCGAGACTGTCGACAAAGCTGCGTTCCGTTTCAACCAGCTCAAGGATGGTGGCGCGCAGCCGAATCAACTCCTTGGTCTTCTTCGCAGCGAGCGGGCTCATGGCGTCAGACGCAGCCAACAGCAGCGCCCTCGTGTGCTGTCCACCGCGCTCAACAGCAGACATGGACATGTGTCGCCGCGGTGTTTGCTGCTGTTGCTGCTGTTGCTGCTGTTGCTGCTGGTGGTGGGTGACGCGGGCATCAGAGGAGACAGCGAGCGGCAGCGGCGTGGACGCAGCCGAAGATGATGCCAGAGCAGACGAAACGCCACTGGTCACGCTTTCATTGTCTGCAGTGCTGTCGCTCTCGGCATCACCTGTAGGTGCTGTTACCGCTGCCATTTGCGTGCTCGCGGCGCTACTCCCCTGTCTTCGATGCGATGAGGCAGCACCAGCAACATCGCCATCAGCCCCCACGCCGCCCGGCCCTTCTTCCTCATCCCACTTCTCATCCTCATCCTCGTCTTCTTCCTCATCCTCGTCTTCATCTCCATCAATTTTCCCCCCTTGTTCACCTTCTTCGTCTTCCTTTTGCGCTTCGTCTTGGTCCTCCTCCTCCTCCTCCTCCTCCTCCTCCTCCTCCTCCTCCAAAACGTCGTCGTGTGCAGCCTGCTTCACCAGCTGCTGCATGTACCGTGTCACGGCGTCCGTGTCACGAATAAAGTACGACACCTGCCGTGCAAACTGGTGAGGATCGCTGTCATCGAGCGGCTCGTTTGCAGCAAACTTGAACGATCGTGACTTGACCTGCTTGCTCGGGTGATCCACAAGCACGCGCTTATTCGGGCTCTTTTGCTGCTTTCTCTTCTTCTTGCTGCTGTTGCTGCGTCCACCACCACCACCACCACCTGCCCCTGCTTCATCCTCCTCCTCATCCTCTTCCTCACTGTCATCATCGCTTGACACTGCTTGCCTTTGTTCACCGCGGTCAACGCCGCCGGCACCCCGTCCATTCATCTGTGCTGCTGTTGCTGTTGTCACTTTGCTGTCAGGGCTGCGCACTGCGCGCCGACAGAGTGGGCACACACCATTGACAAAGTGGCCATACTTGCTGCCGAGCGCATCCGCTGCCCACAGCTCGCATACACATGGGGGTGGCTCGATCTCCTTTGCACCAGCGTCATCATCATCATCATCGTCATCATCGCTACCATACCCTCCCCCAGTGACACCGCTGCGTGGTGGTCGCCGCCGTCGCCTGCGCCGTGACAGCCGTGGCGGTGGTGCCAGCATGTGCTGTGACACATACGCCGCCAGCTCCCCGTATGCGTTCTCGGGCAGCTGCGACGCCCGCGTGCCCTCGTGTCGCACCAGCAGGTTCAGTTGCACCGCCTTCAGCATAAGCTGCTCCACATATCCGACGTTTGACCCGGACAGGGGCTGGCCCGACAGCTCCAGCAAGCAGTCTCCAACCTGCAGCCCTGCCGCGCTTGCTGGCGACGCAGACAGGACATCCTCAACCACCACCTCATCCGCAGCCATGTCCCCCGCCTGCACCTGCAGTTGATCCAGCACCAGCCCAAAGCTCTCGCCCAGCGTGCGCGTGAGCGTGATGTGGCGTTGCGCCTTGCGCATGAGGCGAAAGTTGCTCATGTGTTCGTCCACGACGGCTTCGGGGAGGAGGCGGCGTGTGCACAGCGCTCCGCCGCCCTGCTGCGCATCCCGCACAGAGGCCACCAGGTAGTAGTCGCGAAATGAAACGTTTCGGTTGGAGCATGTGTCCACCAAAACGTCTTGGGCTGTCATGTCGTTGCGCCATTTCAGGACCGTGTGCCCCTGTCCTTCCACATACACGCGTACAAACTGCCCCAGAAGGCTCAGCCGATGCATTGCTTGTGTGTCTGGCGTTAACGCCCCCGCAGGCTGCTTAGCCGAATCCTACAGCACGCGACATGCACGCATGGGGTGTGGTTGGAGAAGTTGTTTGAGTGTACATGTATGTCTGCGTGTGAGCGTGTGTGTCTGTCTGTGTTTGTGTCTGTGCGTCTGTGTGTGTGTGTATGTGTGTGTGCCCTCTGGAGACGAGGTGCAAAGGCGTGATGCACGCCTTGCTGGTTTCGTTAATCGTACCTTGCCCTTCTTCTTTCCCTTCTGGGCTTGCTTGTCTTCCATAAGAAGCTTCCTCGCATGTGTAAGCTGTCGCCACAAGGCGTGCATACGAGCGATGTGCGTGCGTGTGTGTGTGTGTGTCATGAGAGTGTGAGAGAGAGTGTGTGTGTGTGGATATGTGTGTGCGTGTGTGGATGTGCGTGTGTGAATGTGTGTGTGTGAGCATGCGGTTCATGAGCAATTGCTCTGGCAGCGTAAGGAACATGCATGTGTGCACAATACACCCGATACGTTAAGCACCGTACATGTGTGTGTGCGTGTGTGTGCCGTGAAAACAACAATCAGCCGGCGCATCAACCAGACGAAGCAAACACGGCTGCACTGCACCCACTCCCACACCTGACTCCAAAACACAACACAAGCAAACGCATCCAACACGCGAGTGAGCAGGTTTCGGTGCACACCTGCTGCATGGTTTCGCGTTCGCTGCGTGCGCCAACGACAGCGTACAGCCCAATGGCGTTGAGGTACCCAAGCTTGTTGAGCTTGTCGCGCGTCTGGCGACTGAGGCACGTCAGCAGGCGCTGGGCAGAGGGGAGGTGCTGGGGTGTCCAGTCGTGGAAGTGGATCAGGACGGTGCGGTAGCACTCATAACGGAAGAGGGTGATGTGCAGCTGCTCCAAGTGCACCTGCCAGTGCGCGACTTGCGCAGACAGCGTATCTTTGCTTGTTGTATCGCCACCAGATGCAAGCTGAACTCATGCCGCACATGTGTGTGTGTGTGTGTGTGTGTGTGTGTGTGTGTGTGTGTGTGTGTGTGTGTGTGTGTGTGTGTAGTGGATGGGCACATGTGTATGTGTGTGTGCATATCAGTGAGTGAGAGCGTATATGATGACAACACCCGTTGATGTGACGGAATTGGCATTCCGCGCATACGTGCATGCCATGTCATGATCATGTGACGCCTGTGTTGTGATGATGTCATGCACGTGGCGGCGTGACTCACCCGCAGCTCCGTTGCGCGCATGTGATTCGTCTCAATGGTGATTTGCTCCGTTACCTGCAAAGGCGTGCACATGTGCGTTCATGGAAGTAGTACAAAGTGAGCTTGAGCGGTTGATCATTCACGAGGTCTCTTGCTCCTCCCATCACAATCACAACCACCAGCATCGCATACCATCACCTCCTCCTCCTCCTCCTCCTCCTCCTCCTCCTCCTCCTCCTCCTCCTTCTTCTTCTTGTCCTCGCCACCACTGCAGTGCAAGCATGGAGCACCTCTGCTATCCTGGTGTCGATGATGGCCTGGCAGTCGCGTATGCTTGTGGTTTTCGTCTCGGCGACAATCGCTGCCAGGAGAAAGCGCCGCCCCCATTTGTGCAGCTCCTCCTTGGTCGTCGTCTGGTCGTCCCGTTGGAGCACGCAGTGACGGGCAGAGTGATGGAGAGAGGGAGAGGCACGAAGAGAGAGAGGGAGAACGGGAAGAGACGCGGATTGAGATGGGCGTGGTGGATAATAATGTCTGCGCACATGCATAAATGCACACGCGCACACACGTACACATGCACACACACAAAGCAGACGCAGAGGTTTCATGGGCGCGTGCATGTGCTGACTCACGGCGAGGTGGAAGCAATCACCACCCTCCAGCGCCAGCACAAACTGGTGTTGCTTGGATGACGACTTGAACGACGCTTGCACCAGACAATCCTCCACAGCTGTGCATGTGTGTAAAGGTGTGTGTAAGCGTGTGTGTAAAGGTGTGTGTGTGTGCAAGTGTGTGTGTGTGCAAGTGTGTGTGTAAGTGTGGATGTGTGGATATCAATGTGTGCGCGCGTTGGGCGACGGTAGTGTGATTGGATTCTTATGAGTGAAAGCGTATTGACCATGTGGGGAGGGTGTGGGGCAGCTACGAGGGGTATGAAGCACAAAACACGGGACACGACACCATGACGTACACAAGTAGGTTGGCTGCGCCTTTTCGCTCTCTGCGAGCACAAGCATGGACCCCTGCAAGGTGGCGATCATCTTGTGCCACGTGCGTTTCGATAGCAGCGTCACCTGCAGGCCATGTTTCGACCAGGGTACGTGAGTGCAAGTACGAGCGTGCTACTATCATTGCAGGTGCTGCTGGCAGAAGCGCCCGAGGTCGTGTTTGAAAACCACGATACACTTACTCAGTCACACACGCAGTAATACGCACATACATGTGCACACGCACAGTTACACGTAGTTTACATAGTTACAGACACACAGATCCACGCACGTACGTACACGTACACCACATGAGTCGCTTCCACGATCAAAAAAAAATGCACGCACCAGACACCACGCACCTTTGACTGTTTAGAGCGGACGAGCGTGTGTTTGACGCGCACCGAGGACGATACGTTCAGTGCCTCGACAGGCAACTGCACATCTGGCGCCTGGTCCACGGGGCCGTTGGCGGCAGCGCGGTCGTGCTGGTTGAGTGACGCCACGTGTTCCCGCTGCTCGTGGAACGTCACCCCAGCGGCCAGCATGAACTGATGCATGAACAAGCAGCAGGGGTCGTGGCAGTGGTGGGCGGGTGGTGGTGTTACGGGTATGTGGTGGCAGCGTTTTCACGTGTCATTTCAGCTCAACTGAAGCAACAGCTCGTGGTGTCGTCGGTGTACACACACACACTCGCTGCAATTGGGCAGGAAAACACACGCGCACGCACACACGCACACACATATTCACACACGCACCTGTACACAACCACACATACATACACATACATACATATACATACAAACACACATACAAACACACATACAAACACAATCACACACGTACAACGGGCATACCTCAGCAGCATCATACTCGGACACAAAGTTGAGGCCGATGGCTTTGCCGAGACGGCGATCAGACCAGAGCACAAAGCACGACGCCTTGCGTTGCACATTGATCCCTGCAGGAAGTGTCAGCGTGTGGTGAGCACATGTGTGTCGTGATCAGTGGTCGTTGTTGGGTAGTGCGCACCAGCTTCACGGAGAGACATGGGCGCAGCGGCAACCAGGCTGAACACAGTTGTAAGCACCACGAAAACCGAGTCACAACCAACCTCACACAAACAAGCAGGCACACCTGGCTCTGCAAATGGGTGCTCTCGAACGGTGGCTTCCGTTACTTGTATTTGCAGGACAAACGCCTGTGCCACCTTGAACGTGTGCTTGCCAATCGTTTGCTGCCTCTCAGGGAACTGCAAAGCCGACCGTAAGCGTGAGAACAACACTGGCTACCAACATTGAACCGCTACAACACACGCAGCTTCCTGCAATCGGGATTGACAAGCACCCACAACGCACACACGCGCACCCACAAACCACACACACACGCACCCAAAACGCACGCACGCACAGGTCGCGCCCCTACAGGTGGGCGAACCTTTCGTTGGATGATGTGTACAGGAATTAAGTTGCCTTGTGCGAGTGGAGTCCATGTGGCATCCGTTGGAGCACCCCGTTGCAGCGTGAATACCTGACAGCGTAGGCTGCCGATGCAACACAATCATCACCAACATGACAGTGGAAGTTCTTGTGAGCAACACACACTGCACTCCACCATAAATGCGCGCTTCCATCAAACTGCAGCACCACGAGACGTTCATTCCACACACACACATCAACTGTGCAGGGGGCCCAGCCTACACAGCAGCCCCATGTGTGTGTGTGTGTGTCTGTGTCTGTGTGTGTGTGCGTGTGTGTGTGTGTGTATGTATGTGTGTGTGTGTCTGTGTGTGTGTGTGTGTCTGTGTGTCTGTGTCTGTGTCTGTGTGTGTGCGTGTGTGTCTGTGTCTGTGTCTGTGTCTGTGTCTGTGTCTGTGTCTGTGTCTGTGTGTGTGTGCTTCTGGGGACACATTCTCACTCCTTTGCTTACCTTAAGCAGACGCGATCTGCAAACGCCATCGCTGTCACGTCTGTGGCGTGTAAACAACGGCCCTTGCCTGCCTGCTAGTCGTGCAACCCCGAGAGCTGCTTGTACCCAACCACATCAATCAAATTAAACAGCGCGATGGTGAGAAACGCGATGCCTCACTGGTTTGCAACGCACAGCTGTGCAGGTGGCGAGCAAGCCAGTCAGCGAGCGAGCCAGCCAGGATGCACAACACACCACACCAAACAAACACCACAACAACAAGAACAACCACTCGCACCTCGCAGCCAAACGGTGGATTTGCAAATTGCTTTTACTCAGGACCATTTTGCCAATTGCACACACGTGTACAACGACACAAAGCAGCAGCAGTGTGCGACAAGCAAGACAAGCATCATCAGCCCACACTCAGTTGCTTTGTTTGTGCAAAGGTGCAAGCGAAGGTGTAGTTCTGCAGGATGGAGCCGTCCATGTTCTTGGAGCTGCTGCAGCAGTCTGGCACAGCCATCCGCCCTGCCCTGTCCACGTTCAGCAAACTTGGGAAGCGTCCAACTACCCAGGATGACTTTGGCGTGCTCGTGGCCGCCCTGCTGCAACACGACCCACGTATGTGTACATGTGTGCATGCACGTGTACTTGTGTGTGCTGTGTGTGTGTGTGTGTATGCGCATGCACGTGTACTTGTGTGTGCTGTGTGTATGTGTGTGTGTGTCGTCTCTCTCGCGCTCTGTCTCGCGCTCTGTCTCGCGCTCTCTCTGAGTATCTCCGTGTGGCCGCGCGCTTGTGACTGCGGCTGCACGTGCTGCTTTCCTTGCACGTGATCCCCTCCTCGTGACAAACAACAAAACATGCACACACTCATGCTCAAACACACATGCTCAAGCACACACTCTCTCTTCCCCTCCCCTCACATACACACATGTCGTCAACATCGCAGAGTGTGACATCATCTTCAAGCTGTGGGAACACGATCGCACCAGGAATCAGAGCGAGGATGCCCCCATCATCCTGGTTTGTGAACGCCTCTGTTGTGTGCTCTGCTTTGCTCGCTCCTCTCTCTCCTCGCTCCTCGTCCCGATCTTGGTTGATCGCGCAAGCTTGATTTCATACGTTGCCATGGTGCTGTTGTGCGTGTATGTGTGTGTGTGTGCGTGTGCGTCTTCGCGCGTCCGCGCTTGCGCGTGTGTTTTCGATTCAACAACAGGATTCTTTGAGCGCCATCCTGCGTTACATCAAGCGCCGTCATACCGAGGACGAAGGCATGACCCTTGTGCACCGTATCCTCAACAAGCACCAGAAGACACTCAACTACAACATCAACATCCAGCGCGTGAGCGTGAACAAGGCCGCCCTCAACCTGCTCATCGCCATGGTGCGGCTCGGGGAGACGGCCGCACGTGCCATGTACCGCAGCCTCGACATCTCCCAGGCGGGCCTTGCTGCCCTGGCCAAGAAGCGGTCCGCATTTGACCGCTGGAGCGTGCGCGCCCTCTTTGTCTCGTACGTCACCTCCTTCTTCCACGTGGAGAACCCGGACATTGTTGCCTGGATCCTGCAGCAGAAGCCTGTCGTGCAGGGCCTCTTCAAGGAAGCAGAGAAAGACCCCAAGCACACGGTCATGACGCTGCTGGCGGGCCTGCACCTGGTGGCCTCACGCGAAGACATCAAGCGCAAGCACAAGCTCGCGCTCTTCACGCCACACCACCTCATGATCCTGGGCAACCTGTACCACTTTTCCGATCCCGTCGCTGCCCGCATCAAGAAGGAGATCAAGGCACAGCAGCGCAAGCAGAGGAAGCAAGAGCAGAAACAGCAGCAACAGGACGAGCAGCACAACCAAGACGACGATGATGAGGGTGCACGTGGTGACGGCAACAGTAACGGACACCAGGACGGGCAACAACAACAACAACAGCAGCGGCAGTTCACCCCCCATTTCAAAGAGGACGATCGAAACGTTCCAGAGGCCGTGCACGAGCTGCTGTTGCTCCTGTGCACAAACCAGGCTGCAGGCCTGTGCTTTGTGCCGCCGGCAACACACGCCGGCGCTGTGGACTGGCGCCAGCCGTGGGTGTCGGACACGTGCGCCAACAGCACCATCCAGCACCTGCTTGCCACCCTGCGCACACCGAGCACGCTGGGCATGGCATTTGAGCTGTTTGTTGCCGCGTGCTACGCTGCACCGGATGTGGTGCCGCTTGTGCTCACGCCCACGCTGGTGCCGTGTGACGACACGCTCTCGCTGACCAACCTGGCCAACATGCGCCTCACCTTCAGCGTGCTGCGCCACCCGTCGCCGCCAATCCGGCACCAGATGTACGCGTGCGTGGACTACCGTGCAGCCATGATTGTGCCGCCCAACATGGCCCGCTCCCCGCTCACGCGCGCCCTGCGATCCCAGAGCGCCGTTGTCGTGCACACGGCTGCGGTGACGCTCGTGGCCTGCCTCGCCCGCCTTGCTGACGACATTGAGGTGGTGGCCCAGCGTGACCTGCAAGCCAGCGAGCAAGCCGAGTTCCAGCAGGCGCTCAGGGCTGCCGTGCGCAAGCGGCTGCCGGACGCACAGGTGCTGGTGTCGCTGTACACCACAGGGCACACAACACGCCTCTCCGCGAGACAGCTGAAGCAGCAACAACAACAGCAGCGCAAGCGCGACAAGAAAAACAAGAAGGGCAAGAAGGGCAAGAACAATGGTAGTGCTGCTGCTACCGCTGCCGGTGCGGGGGCAGGTGACACCGCTGCCATCGATACCAACGCAGAACCAACACGCTTTGCCGACAGCACGCTGGGCCTGTTCCTGCATGCGCTCGCGTACTACCAGCGCTTCTTCCCGGACGCGCTGTCCCGCTTCGACCTTGGCCGTCTGCTGCCGCGCCCGCGCGTTGCAGTGCAGATGTCGCCGCTCACACTCAAGCGCCTGTTTGGCGTGCTGCGCGAGGGTGCAGCCGTCACAGACTGGCTCAAGCCCGGCGCTGCTGCTGCTGCTGCTGCTGCTGCTGGCGATGGTGATGATGGTGATGGTGGTGATGGCAGTGGTAAGGGAGGAAGTGATGGCAGCGAGCAGCCTGCGAAACGCGCAAAGAAGGAACAGCAGCAACAGCAGGAGGAGAAGGAGGAAGGTGAGGGTGCGTCCAACCATGGTGCTGACAGCAAGGTTGAGACGCGTCTTCACCACATTCTTCACATCCACGCACGTGCGCCGCCGTCCTATGCCCGGTTCACGGCCAGCTTGCTGCAAGGCATCTTTAGCGAAACGGGCGCCTTCTCTGGGCCGCTGCTGGCTGAGCTGTCGGCGTGGTGGGGCGACGTGCCGGCACACACAGCGGTGATTGACCTGCTCGTGGACACATACACGGCCGTGCTCACTAACCCCATGCGCATTGCCGAGGACCTCCTGCACACGGCGACCGCTGCCGCTGCAACTGCTGATGGTGATGATGATGGTGGTGATGATGGTACAACGACGACGATGAGGACAGGGAAGGACGAGCCTGTTGTTGATGTGAGCGCCGTGCTGTTCATGCTGTTGAAACACGCCGCTGCCTTCTGCACACAACACGGTGCGAATGACGCTGCTGTGGTTGTTGCTGCGTACGTTGCTGATGTCGTTGTGCGCGTGATGGGTGCCCACGCCTCGCCGCTCCTCGCCTACATTGTGCGCCACCATTTCTTTGAGCCGCTTCGCTCCAATCCCGCCCTTGAGCCCGTACTCGCCTTGCTCCAGCGCGCCATCACCGCCATCAACAGCGCAGCCGCCAAGGACACAGCAGCAGCAACAGCAGCAGTAGTGGACGGGCACGTCGACGGTGAGCAGCACATGCTGCCTCTTCCGAGTATCGATAGTGACGCGGTGGTGCCGGTTGTCCCACACGCCAAGGCAGCGGCTGCCGCTCAATTGCGAACGCTGCCCACAAATGCGCTCATTGAGCACATTGTCCAGCGGCTTGTTCGCACCGCAGCAAGCGGCAACACCGCTTTGGGTGGTGATGCCGCCAGTGATGCTGATGCGGCTGTTGCCATGGCTGCTGCGGCAACGGACACGAAGAGCGGCCACCTGTACGCCCGTGGCGCAGCTGCAACGCGCATTGGGTGCAACCTCGTGCTTGCAGGCACACCAACGCCGGCGCTCAGCCACACAGGTGCAGCCGTGAATGCCCAGCTTGCACCACGCAGCGCAAATCACATGCAGGTGCTGCTGGCGTGCTTGCTGCCAGCACCAACAGCGATGGCGCACAGCGACGTCTTCACTGTTTCGCCACTCCCACAATTCACGTGCACGCTTGATCTTCTGTGGGCGCTGCGTGGCCTGACCATGGCCGTGCAGCGCTGCAGCGCTGGTGCCGGCAGCAACGGTACTGCGCCTGCTGTGTCGCCCGCAATTATGTGGCTGCGATCGCGTGTTGAGGACATCAACGCGCAGGTGCAGCTGTTTGTGGCCTCGCACCTGTCCAACCGGGGCGCAAGCGTTGGCGCTGCACACGCACTGCGGCTGCTCTACCCGCTGTGTCTGAGCGCGTCCACGCCAGACATGCTTCGCTACGGCCTTGCGTGCATCGTGGGGAACCTCACCCGCCTCGTTCGTGCTGCCGCTGACATGTCACCCACGTGCGCGAGTGTTTTACAGAAGACGCTGCTCTCTGCAGCCGTCTCGCGCCAGTGGACCGCAGACAACAGCGCAGCACCAGCACCAGCACCAGCAACAACTACAACTACAACAACAAAACACACAAGTGCTTCGTCGTCATCACATCGTCCGCTGCTGACAGCGATGGCCCTGGATGCCGACACGACCATCACGGTCGGCGTGCGCGATTTGCACACCGTGCTTGTGCTGCACGTTGCCGCGGAGAGTGAGCATGTGCAGCAGCTGGTGCACAGCTGGCTGCTCTGGCTCGACGCCGACGGCAAGAACAAGGCACCGTCCCTGTCTGATGTCCTCTTCCTGCGCGCTGTCCTGCATTCTACCAAAGCGCGTGGACTGCAGGTGCTGAGCCAGGCTGCACTCAACCTCCTCTACTCGCTTTGCGAAACCGCGGACGCGACAACCGCCCTCGCCATCGACGCCTTGCTCGAATTTGCCGACATTGCCGAACCAGACGTCTTTGGTACGCGACCCCTGTGTGTCGGTGTGTGTGTGTGTGTGTGTGTGTGTGTGTGTGTGTGTGTGTGTGTGTGTGTGGGTGTGTGTGGGTGTGTGTGTGTGTGTGTGGGTGTGTGTGTGGGTGGGTGGGTGTGGGTGGGTGTGTATGTGTCGGTGTGTGTATGTGTCGGTGTGTGTATGTGTCGGTGTGTGTATGTGTAGGTGTATGTCGGTGTGTGTGTGTTGCTTGTGTGAATGAAAGTGCAAGTGCTCAGGTACAACTTGTGACCCAACGCAGGTTTCGGTTCTGAGTGCTGTGGGTGAGAACACCACAGCCACTCACAGGCTACAGGCACCACAATGTGTTGCTGCTGCGGCTATTGCGGCTGTTTCGTTGTTCGTCCCGAATACTAACAGTCCTCTCCTGCCCGCTATGCGTGCCTGCATGCAACGTGTACAGTGGCCGCCGTCAGCCGCCTGTCCGCCTCGCTGCTACGCGCGTACATTGCCGACGCCTCTGAGCCGCGCATTATTGTGCTGCGCCAAGCCATCGACACAACGCCAGACAACAGTACCGAAATTGTGGCCGCGGCAAGGTTGGTGACTCGACCACAACCCACACCCAAATCGTATCCCCCAAACCAAATGCCCGCTACCACTTGGACACTTTCCCGCCCCACTGGCACACACACACACACATGACACATGCACACACTCTCTCTCACTCACTCACTCACACACACACGCACGCACCCACGCACGCACGCACATACACACACACGTCACCAATCCCCAACACTCCACGAATACAACAACAAACACAACCACACACGCACATACATACATGACACACACACATGCTTGCGCATGTACAGGGCTCTGCCATCTGTGCTGGACGCTCCGCTGTCGCGGTGTTTGGTGGCGGAGAGCATTCTGCGAGAAATGAACTTGGCAGCCGTCACAGATGTGAATGTGCTGTCCACGCGCGTGTTTGACCGCGAGCACGACGACGGGCTATGGTGGTGGCTGGACGCTGTGAGAGAGGCGCGGGCAACACCCATCCCAGACGCCAGCGCGCCGGTTGCTGCAGCCATTGGCGCCAAGGTTGCTGCGCTTATTCATGACGATGCGAGCGAGCTGACGTGGGCCGAGGTCGTGGTTGCCCTCTCTGTCGCCGGCACTCGCAACGGGGCTGGTCCTCATGACCTGCCGCCAAAACCACCCAGCTCTGTTCCACCACAGCAGCGCGTGTTCTCGCTTCTTCTTCGCCATTTTATCGCTGGCGCTGATGGCGGTGACAACAGTGCCTCCACCGGTAAGTCGTGTTGTTCTTGCTCTTGTCCTTGTTCTTGTTCTTGTTCTTGTTCTTGTTCTTGTTCTTATTCTTGCTCTTGTCCTTTTGCTCTTGTCTTCGTCGGCATGCATTCCTTCGTGGATGACGCGCTCATCCAACACTTTGTCCTGGTTGATGCTCTTCAATCCAAACGAGCACGCACGCTTGCTCATGTCCTCACTCACTCCTGCACACACGCGACTGTTCAACCCACCGTACCCATGCATATGCGTTGTTCGTCATGCAGTGGCGCTGCTGTCGACGCTGGGGCGCCTGCTCGGATGCGCCACTGAGGGCATCAGATCCATCGACCTCTCGCTTGAGCTCGTGTCACAGTCCTTCCCGTGTCCCCTCGCCACGGCGCTGGCCACGCAGTCCATTGCGCTTCTGCTTGATGCGCCCCCATCCGACACTGCGCTGCGCACCGTGATCAACAAGCGCAAGGCGGCTGCGTCGTTCCTCGAGGCCGTCAACGCGTTTCTCCAGACGGTGTTTGGCGATGTGCTCTACGACTTTGAGCCCGATCTCGCACGCGCGTGCCGGCTTGTCCTGGCACTGGGCAATGACGTTGAGGTGGCGAGTGGCTGCAACATCATCTTGGATCCCCCGCGAACGGCAGCGCTGTTCCTTCGCAGCTCGTCCTTCCGCCGTGTGCTCACTGCCCTGCTTGGTGCACAGGAGTCAACACTCACGTCCATGTCGCCGCAGCGGCTGGCTCGTGCGAAGATAGAGTGCCTGCTCTTTGTGCGTGAAGTCATTGAACGACAGCCACAGGTGTGCATTGGTTTTGGGGGGGGTTGCTTGCGTGTGTGTGTGTGTGTGTGTGTGTGTGTGTGTGTGTTCATGCGTGTGTGTGTGTGTGTGTGTGTGTGTGTGTGCGTTTGATATGTTATGTTTGGATTTTCCAATTCAAGCTGCATCGCTCACCCTGTGTGATATGGGAATTGTACCTTTGTTTGCGCTCGTCCTCCCCAATCTTGCAGTTGATGGCCGGTGACATTGGGCACCTTGTTCTCGACGCATACACAGGAAGCCTGTCCACAGCGGACACCATCTGTCTCAAGGTACCTGCTGTGTTGTGTGTGTATGTGTGTATGAATGTGTGTGGTGTGAATTTTCATTGCGAGGTCCCAGGCTCAATCAACATGCAGTGTGCCCATCTTTGTATAACTCCATGCGTGCTTCAGTGTTTCGTCAACCCAACGTCGCGCCCTCACCCTGTGATACCCCTACTGCGCGCATTTTTGTCGTGCATTAGTTGCTGCTGTTTGCGGAGAGCGAGGGGCTGAAGCTGTCTCGCATGCTGCTCATCACGGGCCCGGGCACGTCATCCGTGCGCAGAACATACCTGGTGGGTATACATTGGGTGTGCATTGCCTTCTCTGTGGTTTGCCCTTGCAGATACGCTTGCCGTGTGCCTGTGCATCAGACAAACACACGCGCTCGCTCAATAACACATGCACACACGCACACAACGCATGTACATGCACATTGTCTCTCGCCCATCCATGTGCCACTCTACCACACGCACCATCTATCACACTCTATCACACGCGCTCATACTTACACGCACATGCACGCACGCACGCTACATCATGACTGGTAATTCTCGTCTTGCTGTAGGGAAAGCTGTCAACGGTGACCAAGGACCCCATGGCTGTGGAGGGCCTCGCACGGCTGGATGCAACGCGCCTCAGCTACACGGCAAAGCACATGCACGTGCTGCCCGACGTAGCGCGGTCTGACGGAAGCAGTGAGCCTCCCACACCACCGTCAGCCATCAGCGGCAGTGCAGTGGATGTGTCCACGGTGTACGACCCAATGTACATGCTGCCACTTCTTCGCTCCATCGTCACATACGGTGGTGAGGAGTCGCTCATTGAGTTTGTGGAGAAGCAGTGTGCGCGCTTCTGCTTTGCAGCGCTCAGCTCCCCCTCCCGCCGCATTCGTCTGCTCGGATCGGCCACGCTCGCCGCATTTGCCGCTGCCGTTGCCAAAACCCGCAGGAAGGAGCTTCGTCAGGTGTGCAGCTGCTGCATGCTTGAACCATGAGAAGGGTTGGGTGTGAGTACCTGTCTGGCTGTGTGTGTGTGTGTGTGTGTGTGTGTGTGTGTACCTGTCTGGCTGGCGTTGTCTGTCTATGTATGTGACTGTGCATCTACAATCCCCTTTGTGTTGATTGATATGTTTTTCTGCTCACTCAACTTTGCCGTTAATGCCACATTCTTCTGCTGCTTGTTCCTGTGTCATGCCACGTCTGCAGTTACAAACGACGGTTGCCCTTTTCCGCGACAGTATCACGGAGCCCGGACAGCTGCTTCCAGGAATCATTGGCGCATTTGCTGCCGAGTGCTGTCAGCTCTCCCTCCATGCCACCGACCTCCCCATGTTCACCATCACCATGAAGGTACTGACTGATTCTTCTCGACAGGGGTGTCCCGCTACTCGTTGTCAATGTTCATGACACCGACATAGACATCGGCAACCGCAACGCGCTCGTCAGGCCCATTACACGCACATGCACACATGCACACACATGCACACACATGCACACACATGCACGCCCAAACTGCACTCGCACGAACGTGAACATTCACGCGCCCCCCCCCCCACACACACATACACACCCATCAGTTTGTGGCATCACGCCCCACGCTGGACTTGAAGGATTTGCCGCTGTTTCTGTCGCTGTTCAACTCCTCCAGCCTCACACATCGCAAGGAGCGCATCTGGTGCGCGTTTTGTTTGAGTGGAGATGCACGCGTCTTGTCTGCATGTGTGCAAGCGTTTAAGCGTGTGCCTGTACTGCTTGGTTGTGTTCTTCGGCCTGCACCCGCACTTATGTGCGTGTTGTTTCTTGTTTTATTCCTGTGCTGTGTGATTTAACGCGAGCGGGCACACATGCAATGACACCACTAGGATGCTCCGACTGCTGGCACAAGGCTGCCGCAACCCTCTCGACCTGGCCTTGCTCAAGTATGTGGTTTGTTGTGCCATACATGCTTGTAAGGCTTGTGTGTGCGAGGTGTTGGGTAGGCGAAATGACCCCTCGGTTTTGCCGCACATGTGTGTGTGTGTGTTCCGTCGTGCTTTGACCCATTTGACTTCTCCTGTACGTGTGTTCACTTGCTTTGGCCTTGTTCGTTTGCTCATTTGTCCGTGTGCAGCCGCCGCCACGCCGTGGATCTCGCCATGTCCTTCTACCTCTCCCCGATGTCCGACCACGTTGCCCGTCTTGCTGTGTTGGACTTCCTGGCAGCGGTTGCTCAGGTGGATACGGGCGCCTCCATGCTCAACAGGTGCGTGCAAGAGAGAGCGTGTGTGTGTGTGTGTGTGTGTGTGTGTGTGTGTGTGTGTGTGTGTGTGTGTGTGTGTGTGTGTGCGTGTGTGTCTGTGTATGTGTGTTACGTGTGTGAGTGTGTGAGTGTCTCTCTGTCTGTCTGTGTGAGCGTATGTGTGAGCGTATGGGGGCCTAACGTTCTCTGAGTCATCGTCTTGATGGTCACGATGATGCCATCCTGTTTGGTTAACTGCTGCAACTCACATCGCCTGTGCTTGTTGATCCTCATTCATCCTCAACATTGTCCTGTTGTAGATATGGCATTGTGGCGTGGATTCAGCTTGCTGTCGGGCTTGTTCAGGCCGCAGATTACGCTTCTTATTACACAGTACGCGCCTATCTGCTTGCTCGTGTGTGGTTGTGAGAGAAATTGCACATGATGGGTGTGCAGTTTGGTTTTCGAAGCGTTGTTGATATCTTTCTGCCTTCAGGTCATCTTTCTGCATGTGTTCACACCCGTGCCCCCTCCTGTGCTTGCTCTGCTGTAGCGTTTGTTGCGCCTGTTTGCGCCCATCAGCCGCGTTGCCCGCGAGGATTGCCTTGAGCCGGCGTTTTGCCATCTCCTCTCTGGCATCGTGCAGGCGGCGTCACACGACAGCCGACTTGAAAGCAACGGCGCTTCTGAGTACCACGCCACCCTCGTCAGCAACGTTCAGCAGGCGGCTGCGTGTTTCTCAAAGCCACTCTCGCAGCACACGCGCCACGTCTTGGACCAAGTGAACAGCACTCTCACGGCCGCCTAGGGGATGTGCCGTGACTATACTGCGTACGTGTGTGTGTGTGTGTGTGTGTGTGTGTGTGTGTGTGTGTGTGTGTGCATTTACATTTTGTCTCTTTTTCTCTCCCTTTGGTCCTTCTAGCACGCTCTGTCCCTATGTCCCTGCCTCTCTGTGACTGGATCCGGCGTGTCTTTCCTCCACTTCTCCGCTCTGCATGCCGACGTTTCACGTGTCCCAACTTTGTTTGGCGAGTTGGAGCCTCTCTTCGGAATCAGCTTGTTTATGTGACATGGGATCACCTTCCTCGCAGCTGTCAACTAAATACACGATACCAAATGAACGACAAGCATGCGTGTGTAGAAGCCCCATCAAGAACCAGGCACCCTTGCACTGTCTTGATTGGTCGCCTGCTCGCATGCGCATCGTCTCAGCCCCCCCCCCCCCCGCGCCAACAACACGCAAATATCACTTTTATCACTTTCTTCGTGTGTGGGTCTCAGGGTGAAGAGTGCCATCGGGTCTGAAGACAAACGTGTCTTCGTTCGACAGCATCCAACATTCACTCACAGGTGACCAACATACGAGCTTGGATGCTGTAGTTGAAACAGTGACTTGCTGAGATTGCGCCGTCATCACTGCCGCTGTTGCGTCCGTCACGTTCACCCACACAAGCTGAATTGTCGTCGCCGCTGTATTTGCTGTTGCTCCTGTGTCTCCGACTGTTGCTGTTGCTCCTGTTGCTCCTGTTTCTCCTGCCGTTGGTGTTGGTGTTGGTGTTGCTGTTGCTGTTGCTGTTGCCGCAGAGGGAGCGCCAGCCTCTGTTGCGAGGACAAGGAACGTGTCACCCGAGCTCACACGCAAGAACGCGTGGTGGCGCATCATTGCGTCGACCGTGAGCATCAGCCGCGTGCCCCTGCTTTTTGGTACCCTGTACATGATGCTGGTAACTGCTGCGTCGAGTTCCAGTATGACTTCGTGATCACCAACACTGACGCCGCGTTGCGATGCTGGCCGCACACCGCACGAGCTGCCATCCACCACAACCCACTCAGACGACCCTGACACCTGTACTTCAAGCCCAAACAGCAGCTCCCCTTGCAGCGACAGAAGCCGTGTGCTCGCAACGGGCAGCTGACATAGGACAGTGCTGTCACGGAGTGACCACAGGAATGTGGAACCGTCCTCGTCTAGCGTCACTGCAGCAAACAGATGCAGAGGGTCGAGCAGGACTCGGCTCTTGCCGTGGAGGCGAGTTGGGAAGCGAGCTGTCGTGAGCGCGCCATCATCAAGGAAGCATGCGCACTCAATGACTCCATCCTTGGCATCACACTTGCAGAGGGCGTTGGTCGAGGCATTGAAGAGCTCAGAGCCTTGCCAGGGCATTGACCTTGCCGTGGTCGTTGCTGTTGTGGTTGTGGTTGTGGTTGTTGTTGTAGTTGTCGTCGTTGTTGTTGTAGTTGTCGTTGTGGTTGTAGTTGTCGCAGTGGTGGTGGTGGTCGTTGTGGTGGTAGTTGTGGTTGTGGTCGTCGTTGTGGTCGATGCTGTCGTGGTTGTGGGTATTGTCGGTGCCCCTCCTCTCGTTGGTGTCGGACTCCCTGTGGTTGTTCCAGCAGAACTAGACCAAGCAACCGTCGTATCTGTGATCAGTCACGCATGCATTCAGGCACACATGCAACGACACAGAATGACAGTGTGAGTGAGCAAGTGCAATGATCGGCCGTTTCGATGGCATCTTCCACAAGGCCAAAGCAAACAAACCACATCGCTCAAAGCTCACAACCCACATCTCACAACCCACAGCTCACAGCTCACAGCTCACAAGCTCACCGTTCGAGTCCGTGGAAAGTTGACTGTGCCCGTGGGTGTTGGTGGAGAAGGCCGCACGCTCACCCTGCCCACCACCACCACCCGTCAGCAAGAGCGAAGCGGTGACGCCAATTGCGAACCCTGCCACAATGACCGTCGCCAACGCGCACACCTTCCGCGAAATATACCAGTGGTGACGTGCACGCTGGTGGCGGCCATGGCTTCCCTGCCGCTGCCCGTCCTGAAGATGGTGGTGGTGGTGATGGAGGTGGCTGTGGCTGTGGCTGTGGCTGTGGCTGTGGCTGTGGCTGTGGCTGTGGCTGTGGCTGTGGCTGTGGTGGACATAATGGGATTCATGCGACCCAGCCAGCAACGCTGTAGAACTGTTGGTAGCGCTCACACACCCCTTCCCCGCCGGCAGCCTGGTGTCATCGGGGAGCTGTGTCCTGGCAAATCCAGTTGGAAACGACGTGTATGTTGGATCCCCAGCTTCAAGGTCCGTACATGCGCCAGCGGCGGGGTTGTGCTGTGGCTCGATGCATGCACAAGCTGGTGCGTATGCAGGAGGTGGTGATGGGGACCGCTGGTGCCGTTGTTTGCTCGGCGTGTCTTCATCTTCGCGGTCGTTGTCACCGTTGCCTTCGCAACCAAGATGCGTGTGCGGGAAGAGTTCAGCCACAACCAACTGGTCTTCTTCTTCCAGCACCTCGACGTATCCATTGACCTCGTCTGAGCTTGTGAGGCAAAGATGTACTTCGCTCATGTCAACAGTCTCAATGTACTCGCCCCACGCGTCCTTGCTGACGTCCTCGTTGCCTGGGTCACCGCTGAGTGCCAAAACACCTGAGTGTGGCACATCACCACTGCTGCCATCAACGCTGTCTGCGCCATCCCTTGCTGCGCTTGAGCTCATTGTGCTCTGTGCGAGGGTGCAGAGCGGATCTCGGTGTTGGGTGGTTTTGTTTGCAATTGAGTGGCTGTGGCGGTCGTGCTCGTGGTGCTACAGGTATTGATCAGTGCTGTTGCAGCGGGCTTGATCGCTGTTGTAGACAGGAGGATGGCAAAGAGTGATAGAGAATGAGGAACGTCGACGCAGCAGGCCATCGCGATGAAGAAGATCGTCGACGAGCAGGTGATCACCGGTGTGTCCGTGCACAGTGTGTTGTTGCGCCTTTCTGCCTCTGTTCTCATCTCGAACTGCTTGTCTGGAAGACATGCAATCAGTTGCCTCACATGTAGGTCTGTTCGTGTGTGAGCGCGTGTACATGGCCACACGGGCAACGCCATCGCATGAGTTGGTGATCACAGTGATGTGATGAATGCTGTGTGGCGTGATACGAGGCGTTGAAGTGGTGCGCCGAATTCTGGTGTGTGGGTGTGTCTATGTGTGTGTGTGTGTGTCTATGTGTGTGCGTGTAATGTCCACCAATCAGTAATGACAGTAGGCTGACAGGGTATGAGGGTGGGTTGTTTGTTCTCATGTTCTCATGTTCCCCTGTTCTCTTCACCCATATCACTGTTGCTGACGTGTGACGTTGCCATACAATGATAGTATCTAGGCTGGTGCCTCTTGCAATAACACTTGCATGGCGTGCTCGGTTGCTGTTGATGTGTGGGTGAATAAGAGGTGTGAAATTATGATGAACAAGAGGCGGGTTCGATGTGATTAAGGAGCAAAAAACAGCAACCACGGGTTGTACGAACAGACTGTCTGTTGGTGTGATGAGATTTTATGATGTTGGGACGAACAAGAGGTGGTGGTGGTGGGGCGTTGGGCTGAGGTGTCGCTGCATGTGGTGCTCGCTTGCTTGCTTGTTCGCTTGTGCACTTGTTCGCTTGTGCACTTGCTCTCTTGCTGTTCAGGACCGGGTGCATTTATTCGTTTACGCATGGAAGCGTGAAGGGGGGTTTGATCAATTAGACGAGGACACATTGCGTGGCGTGAAGGAGTAAAATGTTACATAACGTGGCTGACAGCCGGCTGTCGCAGAGAAGGAAGGGGCAAAACAACAGAAAGGACGCGGAAGCAGTCTCACATACGTGCTCCTGTGCTCGTCTGTGGAGCACTCAAAAGCACTCAAAGACACAACATTGCCATTCGTGCAATGAACACACGTGGCGGGCGTTCCGGCTGGACGAGCGAGGTCAACTCTGCTGCCGCTGCCATCAGGCTGTCGGGAGCTTAAGCGCGTCTGCGTCGCAGAGGTCAACAACCAAAGCCAACCTTGCAGCTGCTTGTACGAGTTTGGACGCATCGCTCACGTCCGGCAGAACTGTCCTGTCTGAGGGCGTACAGAGGGCCTGCAGCAGCACTTGAGAGAACTGACATGCGGCCCGCACGACGGCGGCGTCCGTCGGGTGGCACTGCAGCGCCTCAGCCAAGGCTTCCAGAATGCCAAGGTCAACAATCTCGCGCACGAGCGCGTCGCCCTTGTCGCTGGTCAGTGTAAGCTTGGTCAGGACCTTGCAGGCTGCTCGCTGGATGTAAGACACACGCGTATGCGTATGCATGGCGGTGGCGACGGCGGCGAGCATGCCGACGCGCAGCAATGGCCCGTGTTGCACGTCAGGGTCTCGGACGAGCCGTCGGAGGACCCCGCAGCCGTAAGCTTGGATGGCCTCGTCTCCTTGGTGGTGCCACATTGCCGCGAGCACAGGCTCAGAGGCGCGTTCCCGCAGCAGGCGGCGCACATCGTGGGTGTCGGTGTCCAGCTGCCGCTGCTGATGATGTTGGCGCTGCTTGCGTGCGGTGAAGAGAAACGATACGACAGAGTCGAGGATGCGGCAGCCGAGCCGCTGCAACTCGCGAACGCGCGGATGGGCACGCATGGCACCAAGAACGGTGTTCACGGCAAGTTGATCCCGCGCAACACAGCGCACAATGCTGGTGGGGCTCTCGATGCTGCAGGCAACAAGGGCGGCTAGCGCGGCCGTCGCTTCTTCTGGCCGAGACATGTGCTTTTGGATATCACTCAGGAGGCGATGGACGCAGGCCTGCGAGTCGCTGTCCACCTCACCCGTGCAAGGCTTTGCAATGCCCCTTTCGCCGTCGTCGCCGGTGTCCACGCTGCTGGTCTCGGCATCTTCGTACAATGTTGACAGTGTGGTCGTCGTGGAGAAGGCGGTGAGGGTTTCCTGTTGTTGCGGCGTAGGAACCCTGGGAGGGAGAGGGAGGATGCCACGGGTACTGACTGCTCTTCTTCTTGTGAGCGCCGACTTGATGGTATGCAGGACCTGTTGTGGCGGCGTTTTCCGAGCGTCCAGCGACGCCGATAGAGTGTGCGGCAGCCAGGCGCACGAGTGCGAGCGAGAGATGGAGAGAACGTGTTGGCTGGTGCGGTACTTGAAGCGGTGGCACATGTGCACGAGCACGATCGGTATGCTGGCTTGCAGAATGTAGCGCAGCTCGTCGTGACTGCTGAAGATGTCGGAGGTTCGCTGGCCCAAGAGCTTCGATCCGAGCAGCACAATCACATCTGCAGCCTGAATGCCCGCGCACGCTGCCGTGGCCGCCTCCGGATCGTTTCGTCGTGCGGGACTGGCGATCACCTTGTGATTGAATAAGGTACATAGCTGGTGCTGCAATGCGAGTGCCTCTGGGCCTGTCTCCACCTTGTTGTGCGCAATGTACACGGTGCGTTGATGCGAGCCTGTGGGAGCTGGCGTCATGGTCACGATGGCTTGATAATGGAGTGGTGCAAGGGCGATAAGAAAATGCATCAGTTCCAACATGAGATGCGAGGCAGCAGCTCGAAAAGAAGGCGACACAAGACACGAGTACCAGTTCACGTCAGGCGTGTGTTGTTTCCCTTTGCAATCTCGCCTTTGTTTTCGTCTTGAACGCTCAAATGTGCGAGTTCACGTCACATCATGGCAAGGTCAAAAAGATTGTTGCACTGATGACGTCATGAGGAGCGGTTCACGTCTGTTGCGAGTTGTTGATGCGACGGCAGTGGTGGGGAACGTGAACTTGGTGTGATCGCCATCACGAAGGGTTGCTGGAGAACACATTGACATGAGCCTGGCTTGTGTTTGTGTGCGGGTTGTGTTATGTTACATTACATCGATCCCACAGCATATGGTCACACGGGGTTTGTCGTTGAGCGAACGTGCACCAGGACTTGTAGTCGTTTATTGAAGGGTACAAGTTCACACAGCACGCCCACATGTGACGTCACGTATGAGAGCAGCGTCACAGCCGTCTCCTTACGCAAGAGGGTCGATCAAGAAGGCATGACACCGCATGCAAAACCAACACGTGAACATACTCACAGACACGCAGACACACGAACAAAGTAACAATGTCAAGACACAGGTGTGGAGCAGGGCAAGTCGGGGCAGAAGAGAGTGATGGTAGCAAGGCAAGTCGGGGCAGAAGAGAGTGATGGTAGCAATGTGGCCCGTTTGAATCACCTGTGGGGAACAGGAGGAGGGGAAGAGGAGCTGTGAGGTGGCATGGCGCTGAGTTGTATCGTGTGATGGTGCAACAGTCATGTAACACAACACGCATGAAGTGAAATAGATGCCACATTGCCGTGAAACCGCAGCTCATGTGTTGCAAGCAAAGCAAGAAGCCGTGTGCAAACGCACCTCGAATATTGCGCCTTCGATCCCCCAAAGTGTCGTTGGCCCGAAAGGATTTGATGAGTTGGGCGTGAGTGGCTGGTTGTACACCACTTCCTTGGTCAGCACATGTCCCAGAGCCTGTCGCACCGTCTCCCACTTCGAAGATTGTATGGATTGTGGTGTGTGTGTGTGTGTGTGTGTGTGTGTGTGTGTGTGTGTGTGTGTGAAACAACACTCAACATGTGACATGGTTACGAGGACAGCGCTGGGTGTCCAAGACACATGCAGACCATGGGCTTCTCAAGGCCAGCTCCTTTGGACATACCTCGGTGTCGTGGGTGATGGTGATGCGATCACGTCTGCAGCGGCCACACGAGCCATCACGGCAACGGCAGCAATTGGTGAAGCACGTGGTGAGCAAGATGGCAAACAGTACACACACACACACACCACACAACAAAGCAGCAGCACGTGGCTAGG